AAAAAAAAAAAAAAGGTGTTATTTTGAGCTTGAAAATGGTGTCTTGTTGCTTACAAAGTTAAAAGTGTTTGTTGTGGTACTGAGGAGTAGTATAGTACTCCACGTGGTGCATTATAATGGAATTCTTCAGACGTATTACGGCATTTTCTAAGTCGTTGTCATGTTAGACAAATTTCCTGCTTTGAATGTTGGCGCAAAGGTGCAATTCAGATTAAGTCATCAGGCTTATCAGGTTTTTTTTTTTTTTTTCTTTTGGCAGTAACAATTGTTAGAAGTTAGGAGTTAGGGATTAATACCTTATTCTTTAACAAGGTTCGACTACTGATTGAGATGTATTCTACCGATAGCCCTTTGAATTGCAATGGTACTACTGAGCTACAAAGTAAATTTATTTCTCAATTATAAACATTTTCTGATTACTCACATGCAATAATAAACTTTAATTTTTGCTGATACTAAAAAGAAGGTTTGGTGGTTCTAAGTACATTTAATTTGGTCTACCATCTCACTGGATCATTTTTCAACGATTCTATATCCCGCTACTTATAAAAATCTGAAACTTATAGATTTTCAAAAACTATCAACAGAGCTTCCTATATACTATTCCAAGCGAATAGTTTGCCATATCTCATTAACAAAATTAAAACTAATGGCAAAAGTACCCATTTTGATTGAATTAATTAAAAAAAAAAAAAGGGCTGTCCAGAAAATTAGCAAAAGATGAGAAATGGAAAATGGAGAAGAAGAGAAGTCCATATATATAATATAATTCTTGCCTTTTGACATCTTCAACTCTAACTCTAAAGTAGAGCAAAAGTGGAAAGGTAGGTGGCTAGAAGTAATTATATATTACTACTGATCATTGGCAAACAGAAAAATAAAAGTACACGAATCCAAATCTTTGGAACATTGAGGTACACGTCATCTTAGTGGCCTAATTTAAGATAGGCCGGTTTGCCATAATGTGGTATATACATATGGAAGATCTGAACCATCCACTCCAAAAAAGTTAAAGCACAAAAAGCCAACTTCAATTTTTCTATGGAGACAAATCTGAAGTGCACTTTTCTCTCTCTTTCTTCTCAGATCAGCAGACCATCAAAAGGATCTTTTGTGAAACTGAACATTATTTGGACGTCCGGATGGCTGGTGCCAGCACTGCCGTGTTACCTCCAAGTTCTTGGATACAATCAAAATAGTTTAATTAAAAAATGTAAAAAATATGAAGAATCTGGAATAATAAAACCAACATCTCACGTGCACTTAATCAAGTTAAAATTCAAATTAAGCACCTTATGGTAGCTATAACTCCTCTAGAGAAAAAAATAATAATAATAATAGAAAAAAGTAACTCGTCCGATCTTAATCTTACTTGAACTCTAGCTCTCCCTCTCCATTTACTTATTTATTTATTTAAAATGGTGCATTAAGTTGAGAAGATAAATGTATTAAAAAAATGCTAAATATCAATATTAAAAAAAAAAAGAAGAAGAGAAAAGGACATATCTAAGCACTGTGAAATTGGCAAATTGCATGGCTATCTTTCAAAATTCAAAGCTTTATAAATTGACACTAAAATAACAATAAGGACAAAGAACAAGGACATTCACCTCATCCCAACCCAAAGTTATTTTGATGGTAGAATCCTGATTTACCTCACGCTTTTATTTCACTCCAAAAGTTAAGGAGACTTCAATTCCATGTAACCTTAGCTTTGCTCCTAGTATGTCCATAACTCACACCACTCCCAGGGAAGAACAGTAGAAAACACGGGACATATTTTTTGTTTTTTTGAATTTGAGACACAACAGGACCTAGGGCCATAACTGTTTTTCTCTTTATATTTCTAAAGGCACATATACTAGCCAAGACGAGAATAAAGAATCCAAAACTAACTTGGCTGCCATA